TATAAATCTCCCTTGTATAAAGTGGCAATCTTTATACAATTGAGCATTGTATAGTGATTTTTAGAGAATTGTAATGCATTAAAAATGCAAACTTGTATGAATTGGAAGCTTTCTTTGAAGGTTACTTCCGAGATTGTTTAGTAAGTTAAATTGAATGTCGTAAAAAGTCGATAAAGCGTTACTAACAACTCAAACGAGTTGTGATCGACTAATTAAAGATTGTTATCTTCATATTTCAGTTTTGAATTTTGAGTTTTGAATTCATTTTAGATTTTGTATTTTGAATGTTCATTCTGAAATTGATGAAAACGCGTTCTTTTTGTCATTATGAAAATTTATTTTCAAAAATAAAAAAATAAAATTTTGACTTGATTTTAACTGAAAACAACCAAAATGATTTTTTCGACGTTTTTAGTTTCCTTTGTAAATTTTGAACTCATTTTTGGAAATTCATTTCTGAAAATAAATAAGTAAATGTGTTTTCAAAAACTGAAAATGATTCGAAAACAACAAAGAAAACAAATCCTTAATTTTTCCGATAGTTCTCATGTAAATTTCCAATTCATGGGTTGTCTTTCTTGATTTTTAAGGCTTTATCAACTGCATATGTCTAAGTTGAAATAAAAGGAACCTTTTTTCTTTAAATTCCAGCTTCACAGTGGTTTTCTTGTTGACAAATTTTATCATATGCAAAGTAATTCTGAGCGTTGTTTTTTTGTATGAAAAGATTAATGTTGTAGATCATAGAACAATATATTAGATCTAAATGCGACAGAGAATAAGGAATATACCAAAGCAAGCGAACCCAGAAAACATAGCAAAAATTTTCTGGGTTATCTTAAAGCTTGGAAAGTAGATATTTGCCTCCAGAACAAAGCCCACAGAAAATCGATCATTAGATCTCTAATCTCTGAAGCTGAAAGAAGAGGCAATTCGTACAAAATCACACACACCAGACAATCTGATTTTATGATAAACTATGAAGAGGAAGAATTACATAAATTAGAATTTGGACGACCAAATTCTGACGGAGAAAGCATTGAGCGAG